TACCACTAGACCAAATGCCCATTTGCTGATATTGACTTTGGGTGTGTTTGTATTTGTTTCATTTGTTATTTTAAATTGCAAGCTTCGTAGTGATTCAATAGTCTCTGGTCGCTTGGACTTTAATTTAATGCATTTTCTTATCTTTATTGTCACTTTCCTGGTAGGCTTGGGTGCTTAAAGTTATGTTTCACTGTTTAGATCAATTGGAACTTAGATCTACATATGGTAATCTTATTGAATGCTTATCATGATTGATGCGGGAACCTCTCTGGCTCGTCCACCTGGTCATCAACATCTAATGCTAATCTATTTCTAAAAATTCAGTGGCTTAGAATCTTGTCAGGAAACTAATATAAACTAATATATCTGCACATCAAAATCTTATATCATTGTTTTCCAGTAGAAGTCTGGCTGCATTTTCTGCACCCGATGCTAAAACTGTCACATGAAAGATGGAAAAAAATTATTGTATGGTTAGATTTAATAATGTGGGGCATTCCAAAAATCGAACTCTGAGACCTCTTGCACCCAAAACGAGAATCATAGCATTAGACCAAATGAGCAGGTGGTGAAATTCAATGGGTGCAATTTCTACTGGTTCTTATGCATTTACAAGCTTGACGGAAGAGCACAGTTTTTCCTGTGCTTGATCCTTCCTACCTGAATTAGCAAAGACATTTTTAACATGTTAGCAAAGTTGGTTGTAGGATCTCTTCCTACCAGAATTAAAAAGGAAAACGAACGGTCATGTTTATTGAGTAATTGAACTTCCTCTTGAAATGTATTTTTGTCCATTCTGGCAGGTTTAGGCTAATGGTTTTGCATTGATCGGCGTGTCCAAAGGTATTTTTCTAGAATTTTTATTTTGATTTCTTGACCAGAGCATTTACTTGTCAATTCCATGGGGCAGAATCTTTACATAATCTAAAATTTATGTATGGTCTCGAAAGTTTCATATTGTAGTCCAGTTGACTTTGGGACAGATCACGAGGCCATACTGTTGTAGCAATGACGTTGGAAACAATAGGAAATAAAAAATTGTGCTGTTACCGAGCCCTTTAAAAAAAAAAAACAAAAAAAAAAGGCCAGCGACGACAAAAAGGATAAGTTGGGGCATTCCGAGAATCGAACTCGGGACCTCTCGCACCCAAAGCGAGAATCATACCACTAGACCAAATGCCCTGGAGTGTTTGTGTGTTCTCTTTAAATTGAAATTAATATGCTAAATATTTAGATTAAGGTTTTATTATCCTAGTTGACTGATAGACGTGTCTATATGAATGAAGTTCTCATTAAGATGATTTGTGGTTGATACTAGCAAAGCAAAGGATTCAAAGCTTGCGTAACTTATTGTTATAAATATGGGCAGGGATGAGATCGCTAGCTAGTTAGGTGGAATTTTTTCATAAAATGGCATGTCCTAGCAGAAGGCAGAATTATCTATTTGCTGCAATAAAAAGCAAATGCACATATGTATAAAATAATGTGTGTAGATAGGATTCTGTGTATATGTAAATTATTAGTGGGTATTTTTGGATCAATTTTTACACATTGAAACCCAGTCTCTCACGGGCAGTGTTTTATTTGAATGATAACAAGAGAAACATAATACACATTTACCCTCTGGATGCAGTGTTTCTTTTCCCTAACTTGGTATTAATGCCATTAAGTAATCAGCTCTTCCTTTACCAGATGAATGAGGCTGGACACAAATATGATCCTAGCCTGGCCATCCTGATTGCAGCGCCGTACGCATGTATATTCATCAATTCACCGGGAGGATATTTGTTGCGAAAACATTATAGTTGGGCTTGCAAATATTTTCATTTTAGATTAGCTAGCTTCAGCTTCATTGGCTAAAATATGGTATCGGTATGGGAGGTTAGAAAAACAGAAGCTGAATAAAATGGGGCATTCCGAGAATTGAACTCGGGACCTCTCGCACCCTAAGCGAGAATCATACCACTAGACCAAATGCCCTATTTCATTTTGTTTGTTTTTCTTATTTTTAACTTTCTTCATATGATACTCTGTCGTCTCGATGATTTTTTTCAATGTCCACCTCGTTTTCAAGGTATAAAAATGGGGCATTCCGAGAATCGAACTCGGGACCTCTCGCACCCAAAGCGAGAATCATACCACTAGACCAAATGCCCAATTTGGAAAGACAATCAGCAAATCTGCTATCAATCTTTTTTACTTAATATTTTGCCTTTAGGCTTTAGGTGCCGTTCTTTCCTCTGCAAGTCAAGAAAGCGGTAGGTGGGAAGTGATAGACTTAAAGGGAAAATTGTATTGTGGATCGCGAGTTTGGTTTTCTATTTTCATGCTGTATGTGGCAGTTAATACTGCCTAGTGCTTTCGCATGGCTTAATTGGCTTTAGTATTCTGAGTAAGAAATTGTGAATCGTAAAGCCATATTTTTGTTGCTACTAATGTAATTTTTTAGGTGTGGTGAATCTCATTTGTGAATAGGAAAAAGGAACAATTTGAATCTGGAGCAAAATAACTAAAAAGGGGGCCTCTCTTGTCCTACATTTTGGCATAAACCTTACCATAGCTTTAGGGCTTCCTTTTGTATCTTTATTCTTCTCAAAAGGCCTTTATTCTAAACATGGGGCGTTCCGAGAATCGAACTCGGGACCTCTCGCACCCAAAGCGAGAATCATACCACTAGACCAAACGCCCACTTTTGAAATTGCTCCAAAACAACATTTATATAATGAATAACATCTGAGAACATTTTGTGGTTTGCCATTTCAACAATATTGCTATTTCATAACAATATATATTTTTTTTCTTTTTTTTTTTAAGGGTTAGGTTGTTACTATATCAATTTTTTTTTATTTCATAACAATATTTATGAAGAAGCTAACTCCTAATAGAGCCGTTTTGATGCTTCAAAGTAAACTTAAAATTAGATGCACAAATTAGTTAGAGAGTTGGAAACAAATAATTTTTCTTGTCACTCTCCCTTTCCTTTCCTCTCTCTTTCTCTCCTATCCACCATGCCTAGTCCCTCTCTCTTTTCTTTAACCAAACTCTCTCTATTAACAAAACAAATTTTCTATATTCTCTATTAACAAAACAACATACAACAACGAACGTACAAGAAAGAGTAACAAAAGGAAGTAAAAGATCCACAAAAAGGAAGGCGCACAAACAAAAATATCAAACAATATTACTAGAAACCAAATCTAAAGGAAAAAGATACATAAAAATCTAACACAATATTACAAGAAATCATAACGGATCTAACCGTTCTTTTGCGGACTTATTTGCTCAACGGTGGTGTTATCTTTGTTGCGGTGGCGTTGGGTGGCGAAGATGTCCTTGGGTCGACTTCGGACAACAATGGAACAGGTAACCTTGGGTGAAGAAGAGGATGGACAGCAAAGGAGAGCAACGAGAAAATGTTTTCTCGTTTTCTTTTTAGGAAGTCATTTTTTCAAAACTTACCTTTTAATTTTTCTTGACTGGAAAATAGAATTCTTTGACTTTTTTCCAAGATAACCAAACAAACATGAAAAACGAAAAAAACTTGTTTTTCTTGAAACAAACACAATAGAGGTTTTCGTAGAAACATAAAGTTATTATGCTTCCACTGTATGTTTAAACATCCGGAAAAATATTGAATATTTCACCTAGTATTAATTAATTTGATTTTGTTTTATAAATCTTCTATACCCAAATGGTTACATTTACAAAACAAGAAAAATCTTTTTTTCTCCTAGTTTTCCCTTCAATTCGAACTGGATGCCATTTCATACTCAACGATGGACAAAAAGAAAAGGTATTTCTAGGTCAAATGCCTCCCTTTGATACAAGGAGGTCATTTTTCCATGTGTGAAGTTGAGGTTTACAATGTGAAATCCACCTAAAACTGCTTATGTCTTTGTGCCCTTTTTTTTTTTTTCCCCTCAAATTTCAGCTTGAGCATTTGAGATATAGGAATAACCTGTGTAAATTTACAATCTGGTATCATAGGATATGATATGAAACGATAAACCAGAATTTCAATTATGCTAGATTGGATTGAAACATACCTTCTTATTAATAATGTTGAGTATGGTTGAAGATAATTTTGCATCAATTCAATAGCTCACTAGTCACTAGTTATATGGAGCATCATTGAAAGGCTTTGATTGATGCCTAATACCTAACATGAAAAAAAGGGATTATTCATCTAATGAATCACCTCCCTGCCTAATTATAACTCATGGAATAAGTAATCAAATAATTCATGATGAAATATGAAAACCAAAAAGAAACTGACAAGGCATCCAGCTAGGAACCTCATGATGATATTCTAGTACTCAATAAAGTTTAGACCCACCACCTTTGTGAAAAAGGATTAATTCATCCTATTCTCTTTTGATCTCCCTAGAAAATCAACTTTATATCAAATACTAACTTTCTTTTTTCTTTTCTTTCCCCGAATATTAAATTACCTCTACAACCAACTTTTATCATCTCGTCCTATATCCATATAAGCTGTAATTTTAGGCTGTAAAGGCAAAAGCTAATCCGAGAATATTGTTAAGAAAGGGGAAAAAAAAAAAAAAAAAGATAAATTTGGGAGGCAAAAGATAGAATTGTCGGCTTACTTAGAATGACAACTTTTATCCAATGTTACCTCCCGAAGATAAAGAAAGAAAATAGAATGATTACAGCATAGGATTGATATCTTGTTTGATATGAAATTGCTTAGAAATCGGACAAAATGATAGCTAAGTGGCCAGGCCATTCCTATCAATCATGCACTAATTTGCTTTCATGTCACCCGCAATTCACTGCAACCCATTGCTTTTTATCTCCTCCTTTGATGTCATCAGCTAGGCTCCCCTATCTTCGCTATAATAATCAAGATACAGCTTGGAGAGACAGTACGGCAAAGTTAAAGACAGAACTCAAACGAGAAATTTTACAATTTGTGCAGAAGTGTTGAGGTTACTAGCTCTACATTTTGCTATTCTTCTTCTTTAAGGGAGAACAAGAATATGGCAGCCTTTGCAGGAACCCAACAAAAATGCATGGCTTGTGACAAGACTGTGTATCTTGTCGATAAGTTAACAGCTGATAACAGGAATTTTCATAAGGCCTGCTTTAGATGCCACCATTGCAGGGGTACGCTTAAGGTAACAGCACATCAGTTCCATAATCACTTTATTCATGCTTGTTCATGTTTCTTTTAGGAGCCTTGGGTGTGTGAGTTAAAAAAAAAATGCTGGTTCATGTTTAAATTTATTGATCTTTTTGTTTCTGACCATGTTTTTATTCATCTTCTTTGAACTGTAACGTCTTAGGAAACAAATTTTTCTTTTCAGAATTGTGTCTTCTTTATATTCTTTGCTAAAACTTTTTCAATCAAGTTTCTTTCTGATCAGATCCCACCATATTCTTCTTTATATCAATCTAGTTCCAAAATTTCAAGATTGCTCATTAAAACTCTCTTTTTTATATATATAGCTACCAACATATTTTTCAGGCTAAATCTAAGAGTCAGGATTTCTGAGAATCATCTTTCATTTTCTTGTTTCTTTTGAAAATGTCTTCCGTTTTCCGTTGTGATGGAAAAGGAATGTTAAATTGCTGGTCCTTAAAGCCAATTAATTACTCATTACATTTCTTGATGAGCAATCATTGACATACAGTTTTTATGTTTGGCAGTTAAGCAACTACTGTTCTTTTGAAGGAGTTCTGTACTGCAGACCTCACTATGACCAACTCTTCAAGAGAACTGGCAGCCTAGATAAGAGTTTTGAAGGTAAAAGCACAATTAAGCCATTATCGCAATTTACACATAATTCAAATCTTATTATTGTTCCCAATAGCTAGTTAAAATATTATAACCTAAATTCAATTTGCCCTCACTTTCCATTATTAATTTCTGTCAGGAACTCCAAAAATTTTGAAACCAGAAAAACTTGTTGATAATGAGGTAATCTCATAAGTACTTGATTGAAAAATGATAGTATGTTGCTTCATGCTATTTATTTTATTCAATTACTATCCACTAATTAATTAACCTGAACTTGATTTCTCTCACAGAATGCAAGCAAAGTTTCGAATATGTTTGCTGGCACCAGAGAAAAATGTGTAGGGTGCAACAAGACTGTCTATCCAATCGAAAAGGTAAGAACCGAAGACTTCAGTCATAGAATCAGAGAACCATCCTCTTCAAAATCGCCAACAATTTCTGATGAGTGATCTTTGATGTTCTTACAGGTTACAGTGAATGGGACTCCATACCACAGGAGCTGTTTTAAGTGTACCCATGGAGGTTGTACTATAAGCCCATCTAACTACATTGCACATGAGGGAAAACTCTACTGCAAGCATCACCATATCCAACTTTTCAAAGAGAAAGGGAACTACAGCCAGCTTGAGAATGAACGCGAGAAAAATCCAGTCACTGTGAACATCACTGCTGTGGAAATTGCTGCTGAATCGTAATCAACTAAAAACGACTTGTCACCATCTTTAGTTATTGCTTTTCATGTCCTTTCTATCATACATGGCATTGCAGTGTCTTCGTGGATTTTCTTCTGTTTTATATGTCAAGGATTGGTTTGCACTTGTAAGATGAGATGTGTTAATGTCTTATGGCTGTAATTTTGTGGGGACTTTAATGTATCATTGAATTTTCTGGCAAGATTAACGTACGATAGTTCGTGGCACAGTTTGTATCCTCTGTTTCCACAAAAATATGCAGCTGGCACTTTCTGAAAAAGAAATATACTGTCCCGCTGTCCCGGCCTACTTACTGTAAAGACAGTTTTATAGCACCAACGTGAGGCATGATCGAGCTATATAACTTCTTCATCCTATAGGACGTTAATTTCCACCATGTGGCAATTGGCATGGACGGACCACAAAAATTTCCAGTCAGTTGTTTAAAGCCGCCAGAAATGCATCCCCAATTGCTCAAACAGAAACATTGACAATTAAAATACAATGGGCCGTACTGAAAGGAAACATACACAAAACCTGAGAAGCTTCGTCATTGAAATAATCTTATAACCCAGTTGATATTGCTGTACTTTATGCAGCCAGCCTAACCATGTACATACAAAGGAATTGAACTCTAGTCCGTCCTACTCCTTTCCTTTTAAAACACCAGAAACACAATATTAGGCTGTACAAATGACAAGATAAGCATTGGCTTTCATTATACACTCATTGAACTGCTCCAAATTTCATCGTTTTCCTTTGCGCTGCACAAATTTTCACTTCTTCCTCTTTGCAGAAAACCCCATCTAGTATGCCCTCAATGGCTCAAACCAATCAAGTACTTGACAGTTTCCATCATGTGTACCACAAAGACCAGAATCAAATAAGCTTCCATCTTAGGAACCCCTTATGGTTTTATCCTTTAGTATCTGAGCCGCAAGTACCAGAAGCTCCACCATTTCAAAACCTGCAGCAGAAACAGGATCTTTCGTCTCACTACTGGATTCTCCAAAAACATCAGTTAGCTTATTGTGGACACTTTCACCAATTGATACATTATCTGCCTCAGAAGACCAACTAATCGGTAAGGAGCTTCCAAGGGCAGTCTTCACAAGTCTAGCCTCAGATATGATCTCATCAAGAGCTTCTGGCAGGCCAGTAACTGTACCTTCATGAGTATGTGACTCTTTGACCTATAAATAACGTAACAGCAGCAACATAAAACCTGTTAGTTTCAAACTAAGAACAGACTATCTGATCAAACATCAAGCGACATAACTTCTATGAAGCAGGTGACAAAATCAGAATCATACTATTGTTATTATGATATTGTTTTGACCTTTCAAAAAAAAAAAAAAAGCAAAATTTCAACTGCATCACCATTCCAAACACCAAACAGTATTTATATAAACTATAGCATCTTAAGAAGCCGATCCAGTCCTGAGCCAAAAAAGAAGCATTCCCATGCTTGAAGAAAGGATCTTGTGTATATGGTGAAGAAAAAATTACCTTCAGAAGTGCAAGGCGAAGTCTGTGAATTGAAGAAATTAGAAGGTCCATACTTTCCATGCTTTCCTTGAGAGTGGCATTTTCAATCTTCATTCTGAGAACATACAAGTATAACCATCCATTTCATTAACAGTTATTTTGTAAAAAGATTTTTTTTTTTGGGGGGGGTGGTTTGGGGGGAGCCCAGGCTGTCTTTATAGATGTAATTTACTGTAAAACGTTAGAGGGTGTGATCTGACATACATGCACCACCAATCTAGTGCTCAGTTGAGGAATTCAACAAGTTTTACTAACCTGGCAAAATCGATGTCATTTGACCTTTTCCCAGAGAAATTCCCTTCACCACTCAGGGAAGCTTTAGCTTCATTTCCACTAAAATCGAGTGTGCCCATCCAACGTCTTAGATATGTCCTCTTTAGCAGGTTTCTTATCTTTCCATCTGTTTCACGAGTAGAAAGTCTTCTCTCCCCAGTGTCAGCCAAAAATTCTGGTTTTACCTCGCTGCCGACTTTCCTGCACATTATGTTACATTCATGCAGGTAGTTTTACAGATCAGATCGAAGTGTGCATCTGTTAGCAAGGGAAAAGGAATTCATGTATACTTCAATACTTTTTTTTTTTTAACAAGATTATTGGTTACTTTAAGGACATATCAAAAGAAATCCACAGCTGAAATAAAACAAGGTACATCAACTAGAGAAGAGATTGGAGAAAACTACTGCAGTTAAGGAGAGAACATCAATTTGAAGGAACCTTTGATTTTGAACTGGAATAATCTCTAGTGGATGTGACATTACCTTTATCAAAATTCACAATAATTAGTAGTTTTGGTCATCGCTAACCTGTATATCTTATTTGATAAAGCATTTTAATTCGATATAGACTCATACTTCAAATATATAAAAGCTGCATAAGCTTTTCATCTATGATTAGCTTCTGTTTATTCTGAGACATTAACCTCGTGAATGAGTTCTGTATTACTTGATGCTAATACTAGCAAATGCCTCGAAAATAATTATAACAAAAAAATTATGCATGCTGCATAGCTTTGGGAGAGAGAGCCTTTATCAAAGTCATTGAATGTATTAAAGCTCCAATAAAGAATTGCCAGCACACAACAAGAGAAGTATCAAGAAGCATTGATTTTAACAAAGCATATACTGCAATGTAGACTTTAGGGAAAAGAAAAGATCATACTCTTGAAGTTGTTGATATTCAAGCTTTAACTGCGCCAACTCCATAAGAGCTTTAACCTTTTCATTGGTGACCTAAACCATCACAACATTAGTGCACGCATTATGAGGTTAAAGGATATGAATATTTTTACTGTGATAAATGCACATCAAACTTCATATTAGGAGACATTCAGACTCGATGAGAAGAGTACTACATGGCACACGTACCAAGGAGAAAGATGTTCCATCCTGCCTACTAATATTTTTTTACTTTGATAAATGCACATCAAACTTCATATCAGAAGTTATTCAGACTCGATGAGGAGAGTACTACATGGTGCACATACCAAGGAGAAAGATGTTCCATCCTGCCAACTAACATTTTCGTAATGTCTCCTTCATGTATGATAAGATAATTACTGTAGTGAAGCATAGTTCTAAAAGTCCATATAGAAATTTGCAAAGATATTGCTGAGTTGCTTATAATATTCAGTAAATGAGATGCAAACATGCAAAGCATGCAAGTAAAAAACAATCCACTAGAATTACTTGAAGTAAGTTTCTTTGAAGCTCCTGTGTCTTTTTCTGAAGAGCCACACTGACATTTCCCTCAAGTAAATGTCTTTCTTCTTGCTGAGATAAAAGCAATAATGCTGCAACCTGACAAAGAAACAAAAATTGAGCAGAAAGGGTATAATTATTTCAAGTCAGCTGCATAACCTGAACTTTGAACAGACCAAAATAAATAAAGCATAGTGAGAGAGAAAGTAAAATTCCAAAACATGAAATAAATCACAGAACCTTCTCTTGCAATGCCTGTGCAAAGGCTTTGGACGTGTTGCCCTCTTTATCAGCCACAATATCAAGTGAGCCTTCATCGTTTCTCTACAGCAGGTGATGAACATAAAAATAAATAAATACACACACATTAGAAATTGCTTATAACAGAAACAGTAGAGCAAAAATTATGTTTGACGTTCTGATTCTGCTGAAGTGTTTTCTTTAATGCTTTAAAATTTCATCACAAGTAAAAAGACAAGAAGAATTATCAAATCAAACCAAAACCAAAAACCAAGTTAAGGGTTTATTGGTAAGACTAAGTAGGGTTAGCTGAAATGGTACAGGAGGTTTGCAACCAGGAAGAACAATTCTAAATGGCTATTATCACTTTCTTAATCTATTGAAACACTATACACCTAATCTTTGATGCAAACACTATACATTTCTGTCCACGCTCAGTGTGATGGAGGTTAACACTAGAAAACTAGGACAGGTTGTGTGCGATCATTTGTGCTGTGTCAAGTGGGTACTAAAAAACCTATCCAATAGTTAAAAAAAGATCAAAGCATTGGTAATCTCGTGTATGAACAAAACTCCAACTGCAAAAAGTTGGTAGAAAGTCCTGAATATCCAACAGCTGAGGTATCAAAATATTCTTGAGAGGTGGATGTCTAACTGAAAACTAGAGAATAAATCAGATCTCAAGAAAGTTAAATTTCCGTTGACCCATTTTTTGCATTTTTCTTCTCAGAATCAATTGGAAATTTTGGATTTGGATCTCGTATCAAATTGAGGAAGACCAATGGAGGCAACGTCAAAGCCTTCTCAGTTTCTATTTGCTAACTTCTCCCCATGACTCTGTTTTATAGTTACGAGACAACTTCTAATGATGAGGAATTGGAATTTGTTTAGCCATAATCCTGCACTCTCAGCATTCCATAAGCAGGATTATGCCTATAACAGGATTACAGAACCATAGCTGACAGTTACGGAGGCTATCCTGCTAAGGGCTATATTAACACTAATCCAACTTCCCATAGACTCCAAACTTAGGAAAGTAATAGAGACTAATATTTTACAGTTGGCAGACAAATATATTTATTTAGAATTATTTGTCTTGGTCAAGAATTATTTGAAGACTCTTCCTCCCAGCTTATTACGCCCACTGTCAACTCTAGCTGCCCCGTGGCTTCTGTACGCCCCTGGCTGTAGGGCAACGGCACCAATAAGGAACCACTCAGTAGCAGAGCCCAAGGGTACGGTCACCCCCCTAAAAAAAATTATGTTTTATAGGGTATATATAACATATAGTAATGACTGCCCCTCTGCCCAAAAACAATAATTATTATTATTATTAAAAAAAATCATACATATATATAATTGATGAGGTCTGTACTTCAGATATCTGTCAAAAAACAAAGCATTGGTGACATTTGAAAGTTTGCAAATAAATTGAAGAGTTTTATAGATCAAAGAAAGAATGCACATGAGATACTAACTGAAGTATTTTGAAATTGATACATATTTGACAACATTTAGAATTGCAAAGTGTCAACAAATTTCAGAATTATACCAATGCTAGTAACAATCAGAAAAATACTAATTTGTAATCTTATTGGAGAAGAAATTGCTTAAAATTTTGATATTGATTTCATAATTGATGAGTTTTGTGTGAGGAAAGAATGTTGAGCACAAATTCAAAATTCTTAAGGAAAAGAATAAGTAGGAAAATTTAGTAAGAATGTCATATTTTTCATTGTTTTAGTATTCTCATCATAACTTTTACAGAGATTTAGGATTAATAAGATCTGCTCTTTTTTGTGTTTAATTGATTTTTTTTAATACTTTTTTTCACCTGGACAACTTTAATTATTGATAAATGATTTTATTTATCTAATTTTTATTCAAATTTCAGTAAAATGTTTGCCCCCTTTAAGCTAAATTTCTGGCTTCGCCACTAGAACCACTTCCTTTGGAAAGCACATGGGAAGTGATTGTTCACTAGTCTTAAGAATCTACTTGGGTTGGTGAAGCAAACAGTTACCATGCACACTGCAGATAAAGAGAAAGAAGACACAGTACAATGATAGTGGTTAACCTACCTTGGATGCCAAGGCAGGATCCGCATCAGCACTCATATGCACATCTCGAAATTCATTTTCTTGCAGTTTTACAACTCTACAAGGCTCCAAATTCTGTTCTCTGGTCACATCGAATTGCTTGATCTTTTCTTCTGCCATATCAATGATCGATTTGAGATAAGATCTTTCCTCACCAAGTAAGCTCTTGATTTGAGCTTTATGCTGAGAATGGTAATGACGTAGTTCTTCTATCCCATTCATAACCATTTTGTCCCAAAGAACCTGCAGGAAAACCAACAAGTTCAGTGATTAGCAAAGGGATATGGGGAGCAAATTTAAAGCTCAAACATCAAGAAATTGGTCTCCGCACTTGCTTCTTTTCAAGTTCACGAACTTCCTTCTTTAAGTGATTTTCAATTTCCAAACCCTATAAGCCACAACAAAATCCGTATTAAGCAAATATACAACATAACAATACAATTACAAGCCAAGATAAAGCAGAAATTAACCAGATAAAATCATACCACTCGCAGTTTGCTTTGAAGCTTATCCAGAGAGTTCCTCAGTCTCTCCACCTCTTCTTCTAATGCACTCTGTCTGATGAGAAGTTATTCAAGTTGCGTACCGAAAATATGAAGTAACTCTAGTGACTATTCAAATTCTTCTAGAAGCTGATCTAATAATTTTGTGCTCTTTGTGGATCTAGGAAATGAATTAGGCATTGTCAATTTCTTTCACCTAGCATTACTTGTTTATCGATCTGGTAACATACTTTTCATTACAAAGTTGATGCAGCATATGATGGATACTCAAGGAACAGGCAAGAACTAAGGTCATGAGAACTTACGACGTATTTAGAAGTGGAGGCATCATTATAACTCCACATTTCTTCTGAATCATGTAACAGACATGCACATTTATCATCCCAACTTGTATCCTCAAATCCCTTGAGAGAATGCTGCCTGATCTCATAAAATTTGTTGACAACCTGTAAATGAAAGGTCAATAAGGACTAGAAGATGCATCCTAAACTTCAAAAGTACAATGAAATCTGAAGTTCACAGCACAAACATTTTCCATGTTTCAACTAGTACTGGACAAAAGACTATTGCCATGTAATCTATATGCCAGATGTGTGCAGCTTTCAAGCAGACTCTTGGTATTACCTAAGAACATGAAACAATTACCTTCTTGAAACTCTCAATCTGCTCTTCTTGCTTTGACAGATCAGTCTCAAGTGCATCATTAAGTCTCTTCTGTTCAAGAACGTCTGAATTAAGCGCTTCTAACCTGCATAAGCAATTCTTTAAATCTCAATCATAAAAAGGTATTCATTCAACCATCATCTTCAGGATGCACCACATAATTACAAACCATAAAATTCCTTTGAGAAAACAAGCAGAAAAGGTCACACATGAAAATGGTCACACATGATAAAAGGATACCGTATCCTCACAAAATTTCACAAATAAAAAGTTATGAAATCAACATGCTATGCCACTATTTTTTTCATTGATTGGGGAAGACTTCGGAAGTAACAGGGCATCACCATAAACTACTTATAGCATTCTACATATAACACTTCACGAGAAAGTGGCACATGATATTGTTCAGATAGAATATTACAACACATCACAGTAAGTGTAACATTCAAACGACTAACAAGATATACATCATAATCTCCAGACTGCATAATGCAACAAAATCAGCAGCAAGTGGAGAATAACCTTTTACTTCTGTGACTCCAAACACAATATTAATACAAAAAATAGGGCATAAACATACAAGTACCTCTGCTGAATTTCATTAAATTTCAGGGACATGGACTCCTCCTTCTCCTTTGCCTTTTCAGCCTGCCATAACCATTTAGGAAATTCAAAACCTTAAGAACACATATTCAGGAATATACTAATGAAAGGTTATGGGTACGAAACCAAAGTCAAACATGTAATCAACAAATGTCAAAAAGATTTTCATAACCTCCATTATCGAGTTATCACGCTCAGCAAAAGCAGCAGCTACACAGCCTTGGAAAAACTTAACCTGCTTCTCCGCCTCCATATTCTGGAAAAAGAAAACTCAGGACTACTAATGAAAGCAAAATTCCATCCAATGCAATTAAAACACATGAAATATTTTGGAAAACAAAACAGTAAATAGAATAGAAGAATTTCGCAGACATCATAGCTTGCAAAAACAGCTAATCCTGTCACTACTGCCAATTGCTAGTAGATGAAACTTAAGTCATACCTTTGTAATCGCCTAATTAGTATCTCCTCCAAAATAAAATATGGTAATTGATCAAGCTAGACCCTCAATAAAGCTGACACAAGAAATGACAATTGAAAGACAAAAAATATTGAAGAATGAAAAACATATGAAGCTTTCATTTGATGATATGTTGCTTCTCATGATGCCAAAGTATAATCTATTCTCTCCTGTTCGTTACTATAGTCATTTGTTTGTTGTTGAATTCATTAATTCCCTCTAGCAGATCTTTGATAAAAATACTCTCAAGAAAAGAAAGACTGACATCACATAAAAGCACACGCCCAAATACAACACGCCCAAATAAACATGCACAGAGAGAGTGAGAGACCAACCTTTGCAGCCTCTGCTTGGTGTAGTTCGGCCAATTGGGTCTAAAGACAACATAGTAAGCATATAAGTACTATCACAGAAGACATAGAAAAGTAACATAACCACTAATAAATACAAAAATTTCTCACTTTAATTCGGTAAGCCTCAGAAAGCTCCTCTTGAAGATTAAGATTATCTCTTGAGCAAGCAGCCAACTGCTTCTTCAAATTATCAACCTCCTGCTCCAATCCAGCTGTCCTAATAGAGCATTAATGTAATAGTACAATCCTTATGTTACCTTTCACTAGTAGCAACCCCGCACAATCAAAAAATGAGAAAACCCTGATCCTCTAAACAGAAAATTAGAAATAAATAAATAAATATACCTTTGAAAATGCATTCTAGTGGCGACAGCAAGATAGCCAGGTCCAGCTTGCTGCATACACAATTGTTCTATATCTTTGTGCAACTCATCACGTTCTACAAAACAATATAATTCAATCATATTATGGGGGAAAAAAAAGCTATACGCAAAATGGGTTTATTTAATCATTTAATAAAGTGCTGTATTTTAGACTCAGTTTGGCCACCACGTCCAAGAACAGAGAACACAAATAAGAATTCTTGAACGGGCCTTCGAATAATTTAACAAGGAATTCTACAATAGTGTAAGAGAAAAACATCACTGCAGTCTTTAACAAGATAAAAACGTCATTTGGGTCAGAAAAAAATGTAAGGAAGAATAAAGATATTATTGCCTTGTTCCAGTTGTCGGATTCGAGCAACCATGGACTCCTTGTCGTTTAAATTTGTATCCATCTCTGTTTGTAAAATAGAGAGAATTATACAGCAAACAGAACCCGGAATCACCAAGAAGAATCTAAATTAATTGCGAAAACTGAAATTATATGGATTTGGTAATTATATATGGTAAAGAATGGGGAGAGGGAGATGTATAATTGCAAAGAAGAAGGAAGAACTGAACTGAAGGGCAAGACAGGAATGTGATAAGTTCGTTTATTTGTTTAATCTCCCGAAGCAACAACCTATAGGATTTGGTTTGTGCAAAGATCCGTTGTCTTGTTCCGTAGCTTTTCTTTCACTCTTTCTTTTTCTTTTTCCTTTTTTCTTCACAAAAGGGGGTGCAAATGCCTCTTCAGCCGAGTAAATAATAAATTATTCTATTTAGTTTTGAAAAAGGAATTAAATAAGTTCTGTAGTTTTAAAAACTAGTTAATTAGTCCATTCCTTTGTTTTACATTTTGTTTTAATTAAAAGGATATATAAAGTTCTAAAAAACTAGTTAAAATCACAAAGTTCATGAGTCCAACTCCACAGATATTCTTTAACAAAAAGTCCATCCAATTCATAGGGAAAATTCAAAAATAAAAAAACTCTTAAAAAGGGAGTAGATATAAAATCCGAGTCAATGCACAATACGATTGATTTCTCTAAAAATATGATAGATATAAACTTGTCACTATCATTGAAATAGCTTCCAAATTATATAAATCGACTAGCTATAATCTCTATTGTGATATTTTTGTGAAGAAAATAACTAAATAGCTAGTTTTAAATCAGTTTTAAATAATATCTGACGAAAATTTTTATTCCAAGTTATTTTCAAGCCAATGAGAATGCTCCAAAATTCAGCATACAGGATCGGGCAAATTCCAACGTGATAAGAAAAATTTTGAATTCGAATTTTTGAATCATTTGTGATGCACCAATTGTAGAAAATATGCCAATTGAAAGACGCGAAACTCCATCCATGTTTAGTCTAACCCAATCTCTAGGAGGTTTATGCCAACCAACGAGAAATTCTTGTTTCATGCAAATTAACTAAATAAATTACAACAAAACGATGGTTTACTTTTATAAATACTGTTCACACACTCATATTTTATTATTCTTTTCACTATTTATAATTTTTTTACACTTTGGTCTTTGATATTTGTAAATGCATATTTCGATCCATATGTTCATTTGCTCATCCATTTTAGTCCTTGGGTGAAGAGAGAAAGCTGAGAGGAAGAGAGAGATCGTCGACCGAGCTTATTTAGGTCATTTTGACCGACGAAAATCTACTAAATTTTGTTATCTTTGAGAGATGAGCTTGTCCATGGTAGTTTCAAGACATTAAATCATTAGAGGAGATAGATAAGAGCCAAAAAAGAAAAAAAAATCCAATTTAATTTTGTATTTTTTTTTGTGTATTAAAATGATTTTTAAGGTTTTAGATGTGTTTATTAGCTTTATTTCGATCATTTAAAAGTGTTTGGGGTAAAAAAATGATACCGAAATTCAATTTCTAAGAATCCGAAAGTTGACCTTCGATTTTCTAACGAACTTTCGATGACCTCGGATTGGCCGAAAGTTGCAAAGTGTTTTTTTTTTTAATTCAAGTGCAACCTAGTTGCACAAACCAATTAGGCATCTGTCCTATTCGGTTTTTTTTTTTTTGTTCAAGTGCAACTTAGTTGCACAAACCAATCCAACCAACCGCTTGTCCTAGTTGATTAGTGCCGACCAGGCGCCTGTACTCCCCTTTTTTTCCCCTCCCTCCTTCCTTCTTTCCTTTGTATATTTTAGGTTTATTTTTTTTTCCACTTCCTTCCTTCCTTCCTTTATATATTTGAGGTTTAAATATTACAAGTTTTTATTTAAAAATCCCTAAATAAAGAAAAATAAATTATGTTTTTTTAATTAAAAATTATATGAAAAATAAAATAATAATAATAATTAAAGAAAAAATTATAAAATTTTGAAATGATTTTGTTCTATCAACCCATTATATTGCGTTGATAATTTCAAAAATTAATCATCTTATCAACATTAATTAAGAAAATTTTTTTCATTTTTTAGTTTTTATAAAAGTCTATTTATTAATTATAACTTTATTTTTTAACACAATATTATGAAAAAAAATATTCTTAAAGTTTTTTAATCCTTAATTAAGATTTTGGTTAAAATCAATCCATAAAGTGGAATGATTTATTTTTTTAAGCAAAAAATTTAGAAAAAAAATTGAAAAAAATTAATTAAATACAAAATTATAATTAAATAATTTTAAAATTTTAAAATAATTTTGTATAATCAAACCCCCATCGTAGTGGGGGCAGTAAATTTCTCTAAAGTAAAAAGGCATTTCAACACTATTATCAACTTGGTTAGTAAACAATGAAAGAGTAAGAAAACAACAACTAAGGTTAAAGTAGAAAAGAAACTCAAAAAAAAATAAAAAGCAACAAGAAAACATCTACTATTATACTAGTAGGATTTCATTTTCTTCTACATGAATAGAGTAAGAATTTTTGAATTTTTTGTTCTGTGATTTGTAAAAAATTATTAGATATGTCAAAAGTTATATTTCATTTTCTTATAAAAACTTGAAACCGGCACAAAAATAATTTATGAATCTTATATTTTTATGAGAACGAATAATACAGTTTTCGATATATTAAATAATTCCTCCATAACTTATAGGATAGGGTTGAAATTAAATAAATAATTTAAAAAAAAAAAAAAACCTTTGGCGAAAGGCACGGCCGCACGGTAAAGGTAGTTTTTCAAGTCCTACGGGCAGTTCCTTGTTTTTCTTTTTTTTTTTTGGGACGGAAAAAAGGCACGGGATTAAAAGTAATTTGCTCAGATAATAAAACAAACATAAACAAACAATCACGTCTTTTTTCCGAAACGCCGCCAACAGCTGCGTGCACGGATGGGTGATTCCGTCATCAATCCGGTGAAATATCCGACATCCATGAGTGCTAGTGGCATTTCGTGGTAATTGACATAACTTGCTAGCCGCAATAATACGTGCGAGTGCAAAATTAACTTTTGAAGCAACAAGCTAAATGACTTAACCGAGACAATATAGAAGCAACCAGACCATAGCATGTGACAATAAAACAGCTGTAAGTGGAAGGATCACCGTAACAGATTCGAATCCAACTACGGCACTTTTTCATACATACCAGCGACTCCTGTTCCATTTTTTCAACAATCCTACTGCTAACAGATTTGACCACAAAGTAGAAACTTCGAGGAAAATGGCATTGACAAACTCTGACAAAACTGTCTACAGGAGTCAAACAAAAATGTCAGCAAACACTATATGTCCAACTCCTCATTCACCTTTTTGAAATTTTCCACCAAGCTCGGATCATCAGCATATATTTGCAAAGGAGCATGAGCATCGCATACTCAGAAAGATCAGATCTCAAAATTGGTAGCAAAGAGGACTTTCTTCGTATCGAGTTTAGGAGTAATTACATTTTGTTAAGCCACCAAGTTTTGCAACTTTGCACACGATCGCATGCATCGTCACATTTATAAGATGCAGGAAAATGTTTAGTAGAAAGAAAATGGGGAGAGAGAGGACCAGGGGGACAGGGAGGTGGGGTTGATCAAAGCCACATAGTGAATTGATGATGGGTCACCCATTACCCAGAATAGATTCAGGCTAAAACAAGCGATTAAAGAATCCGCTATCTCAAAGAGATACTGGAAGTGAGTGTGAACTTTCTTTCCTTTTCAATTTCAAATGCAATTTAGCTAACTATTCAAGTTACAGGGTGATACTGACCACTGATGAAGGGCTGGCTTATAAAACATTTCATATAAGCCCATAATTAAGAAAAATGCAGTGACGAAATTTACCATCCTTCCTTTCATTGCCTTCATAGCTGCTTCTGTGTAAGCTTCTGCTGCTTCAACCTCTCTTGCTACTTTTTCAGCTTCTGCCTCTGCAACTGCTCTAACTGCTGCCTCAGCAGCCTGTTCTGGAGTCATAGTCCAGATCATGGCCTCCTCCAAATAAATCAGAGACTTTGCGAGCATAGTCAAAAACAGTTCTTTGACAGATTCTGTCTTTCCCCCTAGAATAAGAGGGAGAAACCCTTCCTCTCTCTTGCAATTTCTTAATAAATTTATATTAATTTTTTTATTTTATTAATTAAACATAGTACAAACATCTATAATAATTTAATATCATACAACAATAGTTGAATTTATTAAAAAAAAAATAACATTTATAATAGCTTAACATCTCACAAAAAATAATAAATAACATTTATAATAGCTTAATATCTCACAAAAAATAATAAAATATATTACAGCTTCAAAATATAAGATTTCACTCCAATAACATCTAAAAGAATATATAATATATTCCAATTTTTGAAAAAAAAAAAGAATTTTTAAAAAATATAATACCATTGTATAACGACAAATAAAAACATTACATAACCATAACACAATTATTTGTATATAACAATGATGAAAACCCTATAAATGCGAACAATGATTATGAAAGTGTTCAAAATCTTTAAACAACTATTGCATTATATAAAACAATGATAAAAATCCTACAAAGACTAATAATTATAATGAGTGTCCCCAAAACCGTTAACGACTGATATTTAAAATTTTATTGTCCTAGAATATGAGACTCCAATAGAAAGTTGTGTTTGATTCATCATGGAATTTTAAATTTTCGAAAATGTCAGAAATATTGTTTTTTGTGTGCTTAGAATCTTATTTTGCACGGGGCCAATGGAAGCAGAAAGATGACAAGTACATGACAAAAAAACAGCTACATACAATGATGCCTGAACAAATTCAAGCACAACGCCCCAAAACAACTACGTTATTTAATCACATTATTGATCAATTTTAATACAAGTATGGAAAGGGCTAAAACGTTAAAACAAACATCTCGCTCCATATCCCACTGCGTTATTTTCTTCAGACATTGTGAATGCTCCTGTTACTGCATTTTTCAACAACCCTACTGGTAATACATATTGACAACAAGGTAGAAACTGAGGAAAAGAAATTGACAAATTCTGATTCAAAATTGTCTACAAGAGTGAGCTGCCTATGCAATCTAACAAACCACCAGGATCCAGCAAAGGTCGATGCAGCAAAGGACCTCCAAATAGGCCTTCCAATATTTACAGAAAAAATGTCAGCAGACCAGTGTTTATCGCAGACTAGTGTATATCTCAGTGTCGATCAAACTCTTCATTGACTTTTTCAGAAAACTTCCATCAAGCTCGAATAGCCTGCACATATTTGCAAAGCAATTCCATTCAGAATCTCACAAAGGTAAATTCTTAAAGATGCACTGAAGCAAGAGATATAAAAGAAGTGTTACACACTGAAAAAGATAATCATCATTATGAAAACCATATCCAAGAACTGGTAGCACACAGGACTTTACTAGCATCTAGTTTCAGCGCAATTACATTTTGTTAAGTTGAAGGAAAATGTGGGACAGTGAATTAATTAATGATGCATCATTACTCTGATGGATTACCCAGAACACTGATGGATTACCCAGAACAGATCAAGGCTAAAACAACCGGTCAAGGAATAAGCAATTCTAAAAAAAGTTTCTGGAAATGACTGACGAATGTGAATATTTTTTCGACTTTCAATTTCAAATGCAAATCTGCTAATTATTTTGCAACAAAACCACTGATAACGGGCTTCCTAAACATTTCAAACTGATCATTAAAAAAAGATCCAAAAATCAAGTTTACCATCTTGGGGTTGGTCCTTCCTTTTAGGGTCTTCATAGCTGCTTCTGCAAATGCTTGTGCTGCCTCTGCATCAGCTTCTGCTGTCTCCGCCTCCCTTGCTGCCTCTTCAGCTACTCCTATAGCAGCTTCTGCCTCCGCAACTGCTCGAGCCGCTACCTCAGCAGCCTGTTCTGCAGTCATAGTCCTCATCTTGCCCAGATCCAAATCAACCTGAGACATTGTAAGCATATTGAAATCATCCCTTTCAATCTTGGGAGAGATCCTGTGTCTTCCTTCCAAGAATAAGGGAGAAACCCTTCTTCTCTCAGCAAATGCTGAAGTGGGAGCAATTCTATATTTCCGTTTAACCTGCAACAGAGAAAGGAACTGAATGACAACCAACATTAAGATACCAAATTACAATTAACAAGAACAGAAACCAACAGAGAGAGAAAGTTATTAGCTGAAGCAGGATTTATGCAAACTAGACATTCAAGTCAGCTTAAAATCTGTTCTCAGACTCAAATTCTAATGAGAAATAAAGCATAATTGAAGAATGAAGATATATAATGTAGCGGAAGATACACATGCTCTCGCTGACTTCCTTGTCCCCAAACTTCAGGAAATTAAGACTAAAAAATAACCAAATAATGCAAGCCTCTAAATCTCTAACATCTTATAATCTCTCAAGCTGGTTGTCGACAATAGTCAGTCTTAATCCATGAGTCTAAATGCATCAATAAATATTCAATTCCAATCCGAAAAATAGTACACTTAAAACAAATGAAAATGTACAGGAGTCAATTTAAATTACCAGAATTTAATATTCCACACCATTTAATTGCAAGCATAGCAAGTACAAGTGTCAAATAAGTTACCATTACACCACAAGTTTGGAACATAATTACCTTAATCAGTTTACCATTTGCTGCCAAATACTTCAATTTCGCTGATAATATCCTCTTAAAGTCATTTGGTGGCCAATACTGTTCCTGCAAAATATGCCAGGAAGGTCAGCTAATTAAACAGGGAAAGACAACTGTAGAAAATGTCAATGTAAATGCTAAATTCCTAACAAAATGTTATTAGCACCTGCCCTGTATATTACCCAGGACTAGAATTTGTTGGCTCACCATATTATTTGTCGTGATAAGTGATTAAATGCAATATAAAAGGGTAGCAGGTTTTAAATCTATCTGTATCGCATTATCCAGTTGAGCAAGGACAATCTGGTGTAAATTGCCCTAGAATATTCTAAAACAGTGAATATATATTCCTTGAAGCAGATAAGTTAAAATAGTGACCCCCAACGTTGTGAGGCTTCTGACATGATACATGATGGAAAGACCATCTGAAATATTCAATAATTGTTTATCTTTGTACAAGATTAAATAATAAGAGAATTGTCTGAAAACCTTCCAGCCATGTGCATCAACCAAATTTGAATGAAATTAGCTTTCAGATCATTGGAAAATAAAAACAAAATAAGAAACCTTCTGCCTAAATCTTAAACCTATATTCGCGTTGCCAATTCTGTATTACCTGTTTTAAAACCTAAATTTTAGATTTGTATTTGATTCTTAAATTAGCAGTTGCATTGATAATAATAAAGGCTCATGCTACTTTAAGTTGGATCTACTACACCCAGTTTTTTTTTTTTTTAAAAAAAAAATGAGTTTAATGCTACGGAGTTTACAAATGGATGAGAACCTCTATGTATGCAGCAATTGCTGATTTATGAGAACCTCCAGGCTCCTTCAAGCTAGTTATTGCCTCCATTATAAGATTATCCAACCTGCAACAATGGTTAACAATTAACAAAAGTCATAAAAAAGATGAGTTATATCTAACAGTTACTGATTGTGTTTCATATAACCAACCAATGGCCATAAGCACTAAACTCAAGGTCAGATACTGAATGTGAGCAATTATCTGTCAAATTATAACAGAATAAAAAATCTCAAGTCTCATACACGCTAAACAAATGGTTAAAAGAAGCTAATAAAATGTGATGCAAGAATGATAACTAACGGGTAGCCAATGAATACAAGAGAATGCATGAATTATAGGTTTTGGTTTCTTTTTTATTTTTTGATTATAAAAAATCTCTAACCTTACAGTAGTTCTCTTCGGATTAGCAACCGGCAATGCAGCACTGCAAACCTGAAGAGGTTTGGCATCTGGAATATCTTCATCACTTTGAACAACAGTGCCAACAGCCAAAGGGTTCTCATCCTGTCTATGGGCGTGGTGCACCCTTTTAGGTGCTAACTTAGGCTTCTCTCTCGACCCATATCCATTTACCATTACACTCATGTTTCTCCATTTGTCCTACCCATATAAAACACCAATCAATCACCCTGAATTGCATCATAAAAACAAACTTCCAATCCCACAAATTCACTAAATTGTTCGATCAAGTAGCAGAACATCTAAAGCGTAGACCATCCTCTACAAACATTAACATCCTTCTTAACAAAAATGCTTAAGCGAGCTAACCTTAAGATCCACATTTGAACGAAGATACAAGACACCACTAAATTCCGGATCTTTAAGTATCGTGCGCCATTTCCCAGCTCCATGCTTAATCACTCCAGCTTTTAGCGCTGCTTCTTCTTCTGCTGTCCATTTCTGTTTAGGTGCACCCATCAAGCGTATCAACAAATAAACTCCTCAGACACACCTGTGAGGAACCAGCACGTCCAATCAGCAAATGTAAAAAAGAAGAAAAGAAAAAAGAAAAAAAAACAGAGATATTAAGCCATCGACAGAAAACACAAAGAAAACCCACAAAAAAAAAAAAATAGTCCAGAAAAAACCAAACAAGCATCTTCATCGATGATATTTACAGTTACTCCTAGCATTTTTTAAGCTCGAAACATAGGAGATGGCATTTACCCTCGAATTTCTATGCCTATCTTAACTAATTGAACAAATACGCAACCAAATCAAATAAAAATACAATTTATCTGATCAAAAAAATTTATATACATAAAATCAACATCGAATTTCCATGATTCACACACAAATCAGATTTGTCTAGCTCGTCCTCTATCCAATTTCACTTGCCCACAACAACAACCATCAGAAATCATATAATTCGAACAAAAATATACTTCCCCAAAGCAAGCCCTAAAAAAACCTAGATTATCAATTCTTATTGAAAATCGCCGCTTAATAGCATCACAGAAATAAGAGTTGAAATCGAATTCCAAAAAGAGGGTGAAGGTATCGAAATAGTAGAGAATTACCACAAATCGATGCTGTAATTTAACGAACCCTAACCCTAGAGAGGGGAAATATTATTCCCACAGAAACATTTTTTAAATGACTGAAATATCCTTTCTGAATATAAGAGAGTTTTTTTTTTTTTTCCCAATACATTCCGTGAAAATTTTGACATCTTACCAAATCTATTTTTTATTCTACAAGCTATCACATAAATATTTAATATATAATTTAAGAAGCAATAGGACCTCTCATTATATTTTTGTCAAATAAGTAAAAATAAATTCACCGCCATAATAATCATCAGAATCCTGCTTTTTTAGTACCTGTCATGAGAATATTTAATTATTATATGGTCTTTTAAATTTTACTTAAAATATAGATAATGGCAATATTGATATTATATGTATTAAATATAAATTAATTTAATCAAAACAAATTTAAGAGACTCGACATAATGATTGTTCGCGTTTTGCATTTTAGTACATGTTATAAGAATAAAAATTTTATACGTGTTCTCTTTCAAAATTTAAAGATAATGGTAGAAATAATATCATATATAACGAAGATAGGTTATGTTTCTTGTTGCAATACAACCATAAAATTGTATAAATAATGAAAATAATATCACACATAGTACCAACAAATATACTAATCCTTTTAGCTATGGACAATCTAGTATGATTTATCTATTATCCAGGATTGTTAGAGGCCAAGAAAGATACCTTAATTAGTAATTATGGTATTTTTAAGCTAAGAATGACACCTTAATCCGCAAAGATGGTAATTTTAGTTGAAACTAATTAAATGTATTTTACCGAAAGTGATTTCTCAAAATTATAAAAAGAAATGCAACATGTGAACTAGAAAGTTCTATAGGTTTTTAACTTGTCACATATTTTCATGTGATCTGTTAGTGTTACAACAATTGGATATTGGCAAATAACAAGGCCAATTTTAGAGACTACAGATTACAAGTCCGAACCCCACGGAAGGGCTACTAAGTTTTAAAACAAACTTAAAAAGGGAAATTTTGCAAATATCAATGTTTTTTCTATTTGATTATACCTAAATTTGATAGAGGATCATAATTCAATAAATTAAGTTTTGACCACAAAACCCATGTGAATGGCTCCTAAGAGCCACTAGTATGCCCAAAATCAAATCTATAAAACAAGCTCACATAAAGAAGAGATACAAAATGGTTGTAATTAACAAAAAAACTCAATTCAATTCGTAATAGAATTGCATGTTGGGTAGGAGAGTGGGTAACCAAATCCTATTCACAATGAGAGGTTAGCAAGAAATAATTAATTTAGCAATTGAAATCATAAATAAGAAAGATGTGATAATGTTGCAAGGAATGGATGAAAATACTAGAAGAAAATGAAACAATACAACTCAAGACAAACATAAAGCATTGCAATCTAAAAAAAAGAAGTAATAGAGCATTGTAGTTCAAGAATGTTGACAAAAAAAAAAAAAAAAGAAGAAGAAGAAGTAGAAGAATAAAAGGACTACAAATACCAGAAGAATATGGAACAATGCATCTAAAGATAGACATAAAGCATTGCAACCCAAAAAAAAAGTGATGGAGCATTGCAAATCAAGAATGTTGACAATAAAAAAAAGAATGTAGAATGATAAAAGGACTTAAATACCAATTGTAACGAGAAGCAACAATACAATAAATACAATACAATAACTCGGTAAATTATTAGTTTTATCTTTCAAACACTTGAAATATAATATGCTATAGACCTATAGTTTGTAGATAATAATCATATAGATTGTAATTAAATAGGCAATAATCAAGTAGACAGTAATTATAGGCTAGTAGATTGGCTCGAATTCAATTGTCACTTTTATTAGAACACATGCATAAATCATCTTTTAATGTCTAGAGTTACAATTAATACTTGTTCATCAATTCTCGCATTTGTAAATCTTTATATTTTCAATGTTATTGTTATTTACAAAACATTTAATTTAATATATATCAATTTCAAATTTTGTTTAGTTATACAATCTATAATTTATTATCAAAGAAATAGAAGTTACTTTATATTTTGAATAGACAAACTGTTTTCATTAATATATACATATTTAGCAATGTTAGTCATCTATTTTAGAGTCTTAAAGATAGCCTGTTTTGCAAACTATTTTCCAATCTTTTTATAAATTTTTTATTTTAAAGTTTTTTTTAATTAAAACGAACACAAAGAATCCACGACCGTTACCTAAAAAAAAGTTCGATGGATGCCTAGAATATTGCATTTTTACAACCTAACTTATTTAGGGAAATTCTCAATAAAAATACATATGTGTACGAGACTAATCAAATAGAAATATGCTGTATCTTCCAGGAACAAGGGATGAATCGTAAATTCAAAATTTTATACTGAATAAATCTTCGTTTTATTTCTCCTTCCCTGGCCATCCAACCGCTTTAGGCAAGACAATAACATTTCTCAAGCAAATCATCTACTCCGAGGAGACATGTCTGTTCAATAAATAAAATTCTCTCTCTTTTTTCCCCCTTCTTACTAAGGTTATTGGTAAAAAATTGGTAGAGATACCTTAATCAACAGCGAGGCCCAAAGATATCAACAGGGAAACCACCGGCAATTGGGCTTAAAAGCCAGAATGGGCTTGATTTGGACGTTAGTTTTAGTTGGACTGGACTCACGTGCTCTTGTTTTGCCTGTATTTTCTTCTTCTTCTTATACATAACGAATAAGAACTTCAGTAGAAAACTCTTTTATCCATATATATATTTCACATCTCATTGATTGAATAAGGTTCACCAGCAAATAATCCAGAACGAAAAGCGACGAATAAGAACTTCAGTAGAAAACTCTTTTATCTTTAATCGTTACAATCTAATTAAGACCTGGTTTAGATTGACGATATGCTTCAGTTAAGCGCGAGGGATGCCAAGGTTATAATACCAATTATTGGCCTGACTATAAAGTTTGTGGCGATTTCTGGTCCTACTTGAAAAATACTCCATATGTAATCTTTTGTTATTTTAAATAAGCAGTTCCATTAAAGGGTTTCCCATGCTCAGTACCAGTTTAGCTGCCCCCAAATTAACCATGAGATCACCGTAAAGTGTCAAAGTCAGCCGCAATTGTGCTTAGATGTTGATCATATTATTCCTAATTAACCCCTCCTCCATCCCATAAAATGTGCATGCTCAATGTCGTCTTCAAACGATATTGAGATGCAATAAATTTATTTTTCATAAAAAAAAAAAGAAAAAAGAAAAAGTGAGGAATCTCGAGAAGGAAGAACTAGATAACTACTGTCTATGGTTTTGAAAAAAAGAAAAATAATAGCTACCATCTATTAATATCAAGAAAAGCCAGTTAATCGGAGAAAAAACCAACTTGCAATTTGAAAAGCGATGTTCCCGTGCAGAACAGACAAACGACTCTTTTCCCACGAACTTGGTGGCCCTTTTCATTGTTGGTTCCTTTTCCACGAATGTGACAACATAGGAGAATTTGACCCAATGAAAGTGAAGGAATAAACAAGTACATTGATATGCTCAAGAATACCCCTCGCATCGCACCTTGTTCACATTTCACAAGGCCCAGCCCTTCGCTTCGAGAAGCTAACGCATACAGATCCCCTGTATAAAAAATGTGTACTGATTTACTTCAGATATTGGGTTAAAAATACAAGAAATATCTGTATTATTTTATTTATCTCAATAGTGTCTTTCTATTTTTAATTTCGTCTATCCAATCAATTTTTTGAAAACTGCATCAATTTTTAGTGATAAACTCACAAGATGCTGACAAATGATATTTCAAAAAAAATCCAAAATGTCCATATTTTTCTCTACCTCTATACATACAAATAAATAATTGATTTATCTATAATTTTTTTTTTTGCTCTCTCTTAAATTTTGAAAAAAAAAAATCCTAAAATGCCCTACTTTTTATCTGCCTTTTCCTTTTCTTTTATGTTATGAAAAAAATTTCATAAATTTTTCTTTTGGGTTAGGATTTGAAATAAATAAAATTGGCTCTTGCATAACAAATGTTCTTTTCTGGTTTTAATTTAAGAAAAATAAAAAAAATAAAGATATGAAATTAATTATTTATTTCTATACATAATGATAGAGAAAGAAGGGGCATTTTAAAATTTTTTATTAAACTTTTTAATTTTTTTCAATTTTTTTTTAAATGTCACGCGTCAATATAATGCAAGTCTGTTGTCGGAATCTACTGTCTAAAATTTATGTAGTTACCAAAACTTTGACCGGAAGGACAAACTTAAGATACAAGATATAATTATTGACAAAATTAACATATAAACAGGATTAAAACAAATAAAATAATAAAGATACATCCAGCCCCTTTAACCGTTCAGATACTAGTTATATACTTGTATTATAAGCACAATCTGACTGTCAATACCCAGAACTCTCTGTTTTTCATATTGACAAATGACCAAGACAACGCTGTGTGTCTACAAAGGCAACAATGAAGTGCAAACGACCTCAACGGCACTTTCATTGAAATCATAATAATACTTTTTTGTGGACAGAATATAATTAAGTAATCAAAGCGTCTAGCTAAAAAAGGTCTCCAGCTAAAAAGGGTTTCCTATTGGCTTCCACCTCAGTAATGCAAAATAAAATATGCCAGCAGTTGTTTCCCTCGGATTCTCGCTTTTCCCTCTACGGCAAGAAAAGTATAGAGAGTAAACAAGATTCCAACATGTGTAATAAACCAGACACAAGTTCAAAGAAATAGCAAATATTCCTCTGTCCACCCGAACTCTATGGCGTCACGCTTCCAAACGACAACCAAATCTAACCCATTAAGACGAACGAACTTAACATCATAAAAATTGAAAGAAACTTAATGTTTCCATTTAGTAAAATCAGTATCTCCCACAATTTACATACATCTAAAATTAAAGCTAGTAAATCACAGTAGCAAGGAATTTGAAAGTAAAGAGCACACAATCGCATGAGAAGTTGGACCAACTGTTCACTTCCATGTAAAGGTTCAGATTATTTGTGCAAGATAAACAATACAAGGAGAAATAGAAAAACTGGGCAGGAAGGCTTGAAGCAATAAGAATAACACATCATTGGATAAATCGCTGTAAAGGACACTCAAATCACCATGTGCAATCTATCATCATACTTCTATTGAATCACCCCACCATAGCTCTCTCATCAAAAGCAGGCATCCAGGAGACAGCAACAGCACAGAGCAGCCAAACTACACGTGTCAAAAGAATAAACATAAAATTAAAACATAATTCTGATAAGTACATTGCCATTAAATTATAGAGCTAAGGAAAGCAGAGACAATCACACTAACTCAAAATCAACTTCTGTATTTACAACTCTGTAAAACCCAGGAAAAAAAATGGCCTTACACAATCACAAACACACATTACAGAATCAGAACACGACTCGAGTATATGTGGACACCACGATCAGGCACACAATACACAATCGCTACTCAAGTATACGGGTAAACCAAAAATGACAGGCACACATTACAGAATCGCAGGTGCAAAGAATTCTCGATTACTTAGAATGGATTAAAAACAATTGTACATTGATGAGTTTATTGAACTGCTAAAAGACTGATTAAATATTCCAGGGCATAACTCCAAACACGCCAAGCAATTGCTTAAAAATGACTAAACAAGCAATCAATTAACTAGCAGTCTATTTAAGATATATCTCTGACAACGTTTCAGAGTGATGGTACTATTACCATCGTACATTCTGAAACCTCCGAAATATAAGAAAAGGTCAGGTTTGACCAGAATACGTATAGCAAATTAATTACCAAACCATTCTTTCATAATCTTTTAATTGTAGAGGTCATCATCTATTACCTGTACCATTACCATCGTACATTCTGAAACCTCAGAAATATAAGAAAAGGCCAGGTTTGTCCGTGATACGTATAACAAATTAAATGACCAAACCATCCTTTCATAATCTGTTACTTGTACAGGTCATAATCTCTTACCTGTAGAGGGCAGCATACAAACTTGCAACCTAAAAGTACTAAAACCAATCGTGTGCACCGACAACTTCTAATTCGAAGATACAGGTCTTTTAAGCAACCGAGTTGACTCATTTCATTTCCACAACAATCCAGACTAAACATAATCACAGATCTAGACTATCAAAACCAGGTTTAACAAATTCGGATTAGCAAACACGATACAGGAAAAGGGAGAGAGAGTGGCGGGGCCTACCATCCTTCCAAGCAACCAGGTCCAGAACTGCCCTGCTGTTGTGGGGGTGGTTGGGCATACTGAGGAGCATAAGGTGGAGGAGGAGGATATCCTTGGGGTGGATATCCTTGTGGATATCCTTGTGGTGGATACCCTGGTGGTGGATAAGCGTCCTTAGGATATCCTTCCGGTGGATAACCTATTCAAACAAATCCACAAAACGCCAATATTCATTAGATCTAAAGATCCCATAAATTAATAACAACAAAAAAAAAAAATCATACACAAAACCCATGATTTTCAAAGAAAAAAGAGCCCATTAAACGAAAAAGATCAAATCGTTAATTGTGAATATTAAGAATCAAACTTGAATTGCTTGATGAAATAAAACAGAGGAAAAAGAAGTTACGAGGGACCAATACCTTGAGGAGGAGGGACGCCAACAGGAGGCTGCTGCTGGTTGTAATAACTCATTTCGCTTCTTGGATTTTTTTTTTTCCTCTCTCTTTCTTCCCTATAAAAAGAATCAGATAGCGGAGAGATAAAGATAAAGATGCAGGCTGTACATGGAAGTTAGGGTGTAAGAGAGCTGTTTTTTATACGAGGAAAAGCAGTTGTTGGTTTTTTATAAGACTCACTTACCGAGGGAGTTATAACCCAGGAGGGTTGCTTTAAACTACACTATAAAATATAAATAGTAAAAATAAATTGAAATAAATCCTTTTTCCTACGTATTTTAGGGATAAGTTACTAGTGATTTTGACGTGTTAGCAAGTTTTGAGGTGTGGAAACCGGAGTAAATTATAAATTAATCTCTTTAGTTTTACAAAATAATTTTTTTTTTAATTTTCAAAACTAATTTAATTAATCATTCGACCAGTATTAACTATGATCAATTCAATATATATTTTTTTAAAAAAATCCTTTTTATTGTTGATCTTTTTATTTTTTTACTTATTTTTTATTAACTAAAATAAAAACAAAATAAATTAAAATAATTAAGCTACAAATAAATTTAAAAATATAAAAAATAATTAATTAGTTATTGAAATTAGAGGGACCATATGATTTCTTTTGAAAAACGGAAGGGACTAATTTTTAATTTACTTTTAAAGTGATTTTACCAGAAAGAAAAAATGGAAAAGAGAAATAAAATTGTTATTAATCTTAATTTGGGAGGTAAAAGTTGGATTTTGGTTAATTTTATTGTTGGCAGTGGGTCCGGGTCAAGTACGTGTAAGTTTGTCTGTTTATAATTGCTATTTTATTATCTCGAAAGTTGTTTCAAAAGAGGTGAGTAGTAAAGTTTTGGGTTTTGGATTTTGGTATGTACGTAAAAACAAAATCAAGTCCTCATGCCAGAGGCATTTATTGTCTCGTGGAGTATTTGATACCAGATTTTACTTCTTTTTATGGACAATATAATATTTCTTCTTTTTCTTAAGAGGCAAGCAAAATGTAACGTTAATTTCTCTGGAGTGATATTATTTTTCCTTCTTTTTTTTCCAGACAAGCAAAAATGCTATTAGCTGTTCGGTTTTGCAGTTTCTCTATTCTCAATCTCTCTCTCTCTCTCTCTCTCTCCAAGTACAATTACATTATGGGTACATCAATTTTTAATTTTTTTCAAACAAGTATATTAATTTTAGTTTTTTCTTTTGAGTATATTCATTTTTTAAAAAGTTTCAATCGAATACTTTATCAGTTTTTTGATGTATCCATTATCCTCAAAATACTAAATTATAGTATTGATTTTTTTCCTCAATAGAATACATTAACTTTAATCTTTTACGTTTGAATACAATAACATTTTCAAAAATTCAATTAAGTAATTCGTTTAATTTTTCAATTAATTGATAATATGTTTGAATACCAAATTATATTTTTTTCTTTTTTGTTTTAATGATTTTTTTCTAAACTATTTTACTATTTTAAAATTTGAAAAAGAATTAAAAAATTTTGTTTTTTATTTATAAAATCAAAAATTAAAATCAATTAGACTTGCTTTTGAAAAAAAAAACTCAATTAGGTTTTGGATGTGAAGGTTGAAGGAAACACAAACGTGAGATTTTTCATTAAGAAGATTTATTTTTATTTTTCTTCAATTTTCACCCTAAATCTATTTTTTAAAAAAAACAATCTAACTGAATTTAATTTGAGATTTTATAGCTAAAAAATAGTGTTTTAATTTTTTGTTAAATTTTAAAATAGTAAAATAATTTGCCATGAAAGCTTCCTTTAACCAAAAAAAAATATAAAATTATAATTTCTTATTCGAACAAGTCATCGATTACAAAAAAATTTTAAAAAAAATGATAGAAGTACTTGATAGATAATTTCAAAAAAATTGATCGATTAAAACAAAAGAAATTAAAATTTATATATTTGGTTGAAATAAAACACAAAATTATAAATTTGGTATTCTAAAGATCACAGACACGTCATAAATTAAAAAAATAATTAGTTGATATTTTTGAGAAAAAATAGTATTATACTCAAATGCAAAAAAAATAAAATTTATGTATTTGATTCAAAAAATAAAAAACTAGTGTGTTTATACTGTAATTATCTTTTTATTATTATTATTAATGTTCCACTCGTTGCTTGAATTTAGGACATCCTCCTATTTTTCATTTATTTTTTTTAAAAAAATCAAATCTTAATAAGAAAACATAATATTTTATGTTTTTTCCTTCGACAAAATGGATGATTATGTTTTTTATTTTCCCTTCGCCCGATAATGGATACGTGGCAGTCCTTTGTTAATAGGGAAATATCATCGTAGAAGGAGAAGGGTGCAATGGCCCACTCATTATATTCTTACAATTAAATCACGTGTTTTTGTACGAATACAGGATATAATATCTAACCTTCCTAATAATTTGAAAATATCTAACAATTGACTTCTGTAGCAAGCAATGACAACTTTTGTCACTAATCAGTTAATTTGTACGAAAAGATAATATCTTGTATAACTCTTTTGTTTACGTGGACTTTACAAAAACAGTCATGATTGTGAAATTAATGCCTGCATATAATCTTAGTTTCTAACATGTAGTTGTTGTTGTAATCTGTAAATTCACTTGAAACATAATATCTTCTATTAACAGACCTATTTTTAGGGTTTTATTGAGTTTTGGTGTAAAATTATTATTTTTTTCCAAAATCACTATCTCTGAAAAAACAATTTAACAAAAACAAATCTAAATTCAACTCTTTTTATCCCTTGTTTATTCATTTGTTTTGAAAGACAAGCACGCGGTTATTGAATTGAATTTCCATTTCTCTCTCGAGATGGTTTAACATTTTATAATTCTTTTTACCGGACTGTTTGGATTTTCATAAAGTAAAGGAGGATTCAAACCAGATGATTCATTTCGACGGAAGGAGATCCAGCCTTTTTCCCTGACCCAATCGGAAGGTATAAAAAAGACACTTAAATTGAATGTTTGGAAGTCAAAATTAACTGGATAAGTATAACTCGGCTTGAATTGATGTTTTATTTTTTATCGGCATCTTATACACAACCAATGATGTAGAAAGGAAACTCAGATTACAGCTTTCGACGTGTGAAAAGGATGTCCCTTCAATTACAATGAAAAAGACAGAACAAAATGCTGAGAATATTATTAGGCTGGCAGGCATACACCTTTCTTTAGTTAGTGTCGTGTTTATGGAGTAAATTATAAATTAGTCCCTCTATATTTTAGAAACGAATTAATTAATTCTTTTATTTCAAAAAATTAATTATTTAATTTATTTACAGTGTTAACTATGCTTCATTTAATATTAATGTATTTTAAAAAATATTTTATTTTTCATCAATCCTATATTTTTTTATTTCTTAAATAAAAGTCAAAACAAATTGAGAAATAAAGAAAAAAATAAAGGTACAAAAACTGTTTAAAATAAAGACTAAATAATTAGTTTTTAAACAATATAGATTAATTTATTTATTTATTAAAACTAAAGGGACTAATTTATAATTTACTCCATGGGATTCCTAATTGTTTAATAATGGTAGTATCACATCGCTGTATGCCGGTCATGAAAGACAACGGAAGTTCCCGATATCTGTCTCGTTAGACGCCTCGTAATTTTCATATATGTCTTCATTTCTAACGAAGGATTTTTTATAATTTGTCAGTCAATCCAGACTTATTAATCAAAGTAATTTTTAATATTTTAGAGTCATGTTCGTGGAAGGCGGTTTTTTTGACGGAGGTCCATATTATTTTTTATCATAAAAAATATTTAATTATTTTTCATGCAATACTTTCCCTCTTTTTCATCGGAAAAAGCATGTCGCTTCTACCATGCATGCCTTTCACAAAGGTATCTAAAAACGAAATAAATCAGTATAAATAGGTATTAAAAAGCATCACCGTATATTTAAAACGATGCAAACATGTTGAACAACATCCAATAACATCTACTGACGCATCCAGTTTAACTAACTTTTATTAATTGGTTTATTGGCAGTTTTTTCTCCAGAATTACTGGGGTTGTGACATATTAAAGACTGTATTCTTAAATTTGTCAATTTTATTTATAAACTGTCATATTTTAGGTAAACATTATCTTTTAATTTGATTTTATCATTATGATTAACCAAATTTTCGTTTTAAAAAATATTTTTTAATATTTTTACTTATACTCATAGAAATTCAATCTGCTTTCAGAAGTAATTTTAGAATTTTTTTTAGATTAGAAAGTATTATTTTTTTAATAAAATCATCAAACATTAAATATTTACAAAATTTCAAAAGTTAGAAAATAATTTGGAATGGTTCGAAATTTTGTTAAGAGCCTTAAAAAAATTATATAAATTTATTTGTTTACTTTCAGTGTCATTCTCAAATACCTAACACCTAATTAATTAAGCTTAAAATTGGTTAAATGTTAAAAACTACACATGCAAAATTTTTGAAAATCACGCTAAAATTACTTATAATCTTCTAGCTCTCCAAAAAACTTGAGATAATTTTAACCTATTTTTTATTCTTCATAATTTATTGAATTTGTATTGTTTAGAAAATGAAAAAACACCCTCGACTATATATATGTGTGTGTGTTTGTAAAATTTGATTGAATTTTTATGAGCATCTATGAAAATTTTGACTGAAAATACTAAAAAATTAAAATTTTCTGTTGAAACTACTAAAATATATATTTTTTTTAATCAGTTTTGATAAATGGCCAGATTTTGACTTGTTGACCTAATAACTAAATTTAAAAAATTACAATATTTATTCAAAACATGATAGTTTGATAATAAAATTAATCAAATAATAGTACATATCTCAATGTGTCACTATCTCACCACTGCAGAGGCAATAAATACCATTAAACCGTTTATAATTGGATTGTTAAATGCATTGGTTTGAATCTCAACCGAATGTCCCTAATTTTTTCAGATGCGGTTTCACGGAAGCTACAGGGCAAGATGATAAGTGCCCATTTTCTGTAACTAG